CATGGGCAGGATAATGCGTACATTTCTTACCAAGCATTGCAGCCTCCTCCTTTGTTTACCCTCCTTTGTTTACTGGGGAGGCTGGGAAGGTCTCACTATTTCTGAGAGTAGTATGGATCCTTCCATTCTTGTCTTTAACAGTTTACACTGTATGGGGACAGCTGCTTTTCTCCCTGAAGTCCAAACAAGTTAGATGAGGTGCTGTATATAGTCTGAACCCTAGTCTGTCTCGTAGCCTGTCTTTCCTACTGGGTTAAGGCTATCCTCAAACTATTCCCAGCTTCTGAGCCTTAATTTTTCTAATCCTCTGGGAGTATACAAAGCCATCAAACCAAAGCAGTTTTTGCTGGCTGGGCAGGACACAGGTCTCTGATTGAACCTGTGTGCTTTGGGTTTATACTTCTGTCCTAGAATACCATTCATGTTCACACACATGTGATCTCTTCTGACTAGAGTTTGGGCTGAAGCTCTTGTCACTGCCTTCACACTGGCTTCCCTCTGTGGTAAAGCTCCGTTCTCCCCACTTAGGTAGATATATGTTCATGAACATGTATTGTCACAATTCCTTTCCTGAGTCCACACTGGTTCTTAGGTGGCATGGAAGAGGCCTTTGGTTTTTGACATATAAAAATGAGGTTCTTTTGCTTTTCCCATCTGAGATGTTTGACTGTAAGGCCTCTAAGATGATGCTACTCTACCATACCAGTGAACAAACTAGGAAGTAGATAGGCCAGTGGACCCTTTTGGCATCTGCTTGTTGTATACTATGCAGATCTTTGTCTTATATTTTATTTTGTGTAGAGCGATTTTCCCCACGGTTTTCTCTTTCTCTCTTGTTTGCAGCTCTGTAGTGTAAGAGGTGCTTGTCTCCTTTGCCTCAAGTTTTGCTTTGTGCTCTGTTAGGATTCCTTGTTTGTCTTATAAATCTAAAGTTCAGTATTTCTGGATTTTACCCATTATCTGCTTACTGTTGCCCTCTCTCTTTCCTATACTACCATACTGTTCTCTACAGTCACATGCCTGATTTTCAGATTCTTGGAGACTCAGGAAAGTTAATCATTGTCTTTAATCCATCATCTTCCTTCTTATGCTAGGTTTTAAAGTGAATAATTACTAATTTCTTCAGCAACTACATTTTGGTTGTTTGGATTTTAATGAGTGATAGTACTATTATACTGAATGATTGTTGCTTTAATTTTCTCAGGAAACTGTATTTAGTAGTTTAATTATGTATTGTTAATTTTTAACCTTTTCCCAGGTGCCAAAGTGAATGATGTGGTCCCATGGGTATTGGATATTATATTAAATAAACACATCATCAGCCCTAACCCACATGTAAGGCAAGCATCCTGCATCTGGCTCCTTTCCCTTGTAAGGAAGCTAAGTACCCATAAAGAAGTGAAGGTGAGTCAGACCGAATGTATGATCAACTCTGCTAGGAATCACAGTATTTATAAATGAACAGTGGAAAGGAAAGTGTATGAAAGGGCCATTAACCAGTAGTGAAATTTTTAAATTAGATATACATGAAGGAACGAAGGGTGATGGCATGGTAAATACTGGAAGGAAGATGATCTAAACTTGAATGTGTAATGTCAGAAGCTAAGGATGGAGGAGTCTCAGATTGGGGTAAAAGTTAGATTGCATGCAGTAGGCTACCTATAAGGGGACAGCTTCAGGTAATTTGAATACCCATGAAAATGTGGCACAGCAGAGTTATGGTTACTCTCATAAGACTTTACAATCTAATGTGCTTAATGCACAAAATTCTTAGTTTCCAAAGTAGAGTTTTGTTTTTCTAAGAAAGTAATTAATTTTTTCTGTGAGACTAAATTTTGTGCAGTATTTTCATAACATCCAACATCTATGCCAAACTTTCCTATGTATTGACTTGTAATGGAGGAATCTCTTTTATTGACTGTAATGCAGGAATCTCTTTTATTTGACTACCCCCAGTTTAATTCAGTAGTTCTAAGGTACAGCAGTATTCAAAATGTTTCTCCCTACCTGGGTGCTGGTGGCTCACATCTGTAATCCTAGCTACTCAGGAAGCTGAGATCTAAGGATTGCCAAACTGGGCAAGAAAGTCTATGAGACTTTTACCTTCAGTTAACTTGGAGAAAAAAGCCAGAATTGGAGGTGTGGGTCAAATATGGTAGAGTGTCCACATTGAGCAACAAAGCTAAAAGAGAATATGTTGTTCCTGAGTTAAGCCCTAGTACTGGCACCACAATAAAAAGTTACTTCATTATTCTTAATCAGTTTCTTCCACACATTATCTAACTTTCACGCATTAGCTACACTCTTAAAAAAACAACAACTAGGATTTCTAAAGATTCTCAATGTTCTAATGTTCTTTTTCTTTTCTCAGTCTCATCTTAAAGAAATTCAAAGTGCATTTGTTTCAGTTCTGTCAGAAAATGATGGTAGGTTCATAAATATTTGACATGTAAACCTCATTGAACTTGTATTTTAAACTTTGAAAAGTATGGGTTAATAAGCAACCACAAAAAACCTTTCTGAGGTATAAAATTAAAGCAAGAAGTATCATCCTGGAGTGGTGGTCCAAAAACAAAAAAATTAATAAATAAGCACTTTATTAGTATTAAATTGTTAGTGGCTGAAAATAAAAAATTCTAGTTATAGTGCAGGACACTTAAATTCCAAATTTATAAATTAGAACATGTTCTTTAGCTTTACATTAAAAAATGGGGCTGACCCTTGTACTGGTGGCTCACACCTATAATCCTAGCTACTCCGAGGCTGAGATCTAAGGATCCTGGTTCAAAGCCAGCCCAGGCTGAAAAGTCTATGAGACTCCTCTCCAGTTAACCATCAGAAAACTGGAAATGAACAAGTGGCTCAAAGTGGTAGACCACTAACTTTGAGCAAAAGAGCTTGGGGACAATGAGTGTCCAGGCCCTGAGTTCAAGCTCCGTGACTGACCGAAAAAAAAAATGGAGCTGGACCCTTGGATAATATTATTACCACTCCTAAGTAATTGCCTTCTGATTGCTTTTTCTCTCTGATTGAAGCTAGAATGATTGGATTAGACATGTAATAGTGGCTTTTGAAAAACATGTAGTTTTGGCTGGAAAGGTGGCTCAGTGGTAGAGTGCTTGCTTCGCATGCATGAGGCCCTGGGTTCGATTCCTTAGTACCACATAAGCAGAAAAAACGAAGTGACGTTGTGGCTTAAGTGGTAGAGCGCTAGCCTTGAGCTGAAGAGCCAAGGGACAGCACCCAGGCCCAGAGTTCAGGCCATGACCGACCAAAAAAAACAAAAACAAAAACACATGTGGTTTTCATTGACTTTTGATGTTTACAAAATAAGATGTAGGTTACTGAAATTCTGTGAGGCTGTTTTAGGTATGTTGTGTATAAATTACGCCAATATTTTGTCACAATGCACTATGTAGTAGCTCTATACAAGTCCCACTGTTGTCTTGGTTTGTGATGGACCTTCTCTGAAGGTAATTCTCATTTACAATAATATGTGCTGTCATTCCTACTAAGATGACATAGTAAATGTTAGCAAAATAGGCAAAATGATTGAATTCTCATTCTTTGCCTTGATATAGTTTGGGATTACATTTAACTAGTTTAAAAATTGACTTCATGGCCAAGAAACGATTTTTTTTTTTAATAACAAAATTTTGTCTGACTTTTCTGTAGAACTTAGCCAAGACGTTGCCTCAAAAGGCCTTGGGTTGGTTTATGAACTAGGAAACGAGCAGGATCAACAGGAGTTGGTATCTACACTTGTAGAGACACTCATGACTGGCAAAAGGTATGGCAAATTTGAAAATTTCAGAGTTACATAAATAGACAAGTTATGTGCACATATAGAGACAGTATAGAAGGAGGAAAAGTCTGCTTGCTATTTATTATTTGTTAAACCTTTTCTAAATTTTCAGTCAGTAGTTGTTACACCATGTAGTTATTCCAGTGTATACTTTTTTTTTTTTTTCTGGTCAGTCATGGGGCTTGAACTCTGGGCGTGGGTGCTTTCCCTCAGCTCTTCAGCTCCAGGAGAGCACTCTACCACTTGAGCCATAGCGCCTTTTTTCTAGTGGTTTATTGGAGATAAGAGTCTCACGGACTTTTCTGCCCAGGCTGGCTTTGAACTGTGATCCTCAGATCTCAGCCTCCTGAGTAGCTAGGATTACAGGCGTGAGCCACCAGCACCCAGCTATCGAATGTATACTTTTTTTTCTTTGTTGGTCGTGGGGGCCCTACCACTTGAGCCACAGTACCACTTTCGGATTTTTTCTGCTTTTGTGGTGCTGAGGAATTGAACTCAGGGCCTCATGCATGTGAAGCATGAGCCAACTTGCCAGGCCCAATGTGTACTTTTTATAAGCTGCCAGTTGGTCAAGGTTTCAAAGTCAAATGGTCCTGGGACATTTAAAACATTAACTTAAGAGAAATGCTAGGGCTGGGAAGGTAGCTCAGTGGTAGAGCACTTGCCTTGTATGCATGAGGCCCTGGGTTTGATTCCTCAGCACCACATAAGCAAAAAGAAAAAAGCTGTAAGTGGCACTGTGGCTCAAGGGGTAGCGCTAGCTTTAAGCTGAAGAGCTCAGGGACAGCGCCCACCCAGGCCCAGAGTTCAGGCCCCATGACCGGACCCCAAAAAAAAAAGAAATGCTGTAGTTGTTGATGGATAAATAAAAACTAAGATGTGAAAAAAAACAGCTTGTGTAGCATATATAATCTGATTTGTGAAACATGTTGGATGAGCCTTGAAATTGCTTTCTATTTATGTTGCTTTCTTTGTTGGAAGGCTAGCTTTTCATATGTGTTCACGCCTAATTTATTATAATTTTATTTGGGATGCTTTTAATATGTATTAATTTTTTCAGTCTGCACTTGGTTTTACAAAATTCCAGGCTAATGAAAAAGAACAGCTTACTTTTTAAAAAATCATCCATGCAGTAGATAAAATTATTGTTAGCTTATAAATATACCCATGTGTTTAATGCTAGTATATGAAATTTGAAGTTAATTTAAATTCTTGTTGTTTTGGTTTAGAGCTAAACATGAAGTTTCTGGAGAGACAGTGGTATTTCAAGGAGGAGGCCTTGGCAAAACACCTGATGGGTAAGTATTCCAGATCCATTGATCAATTAGTGTAGCTATTTAAATTTATTTTTAAGCAGTTGGGTAAATAGGATAATTATAAAGTTGGTTTTTGCTCTCAAGGAAAGTTCTTTTGGTAGAAAAAGACTTGTATGGGAAAAGCCTATTATCTTAGGTTGGATTTTCTGGGAAACAAAATCTGTGATAGAGAGTTGTATATAGGAAGTTTATTGGGGAGCCTCTTTAGGGCCAGCAAGCAAGCAGGATAGAGGGAGGGGTTCAAATACTGAACCCTTGAAGAGCTCTGAGCTGGGTTGGCATGGCCTTTCAGAGTTGTCTTGCTTTAAAGCACAGGGCCTGGGCCTTTATATTCCCTTCATATACCTTTATAATCCCTTCATGAGTAGTCGTTGATACTGGATTGTTCTGTGGTAAGCTGTGATCTCAGGCTGAAAGCTGAATCTGGCTAGGGTGAGAGCTGCGAGCTCCTGAGTCTGATCAAGGAGCTAGCTTGTCATTCCCTGTACCTAGTTTTTAATGGGGAACTCAGTGTCATAGAGTGCACTAATTTGGTACACTAATTTTAACTTCCTAGAGCTTTACCTCCTTTATTTTATCTTTATTTCAGCATGGTTCTATTATTACTTTTCCTTTAAGATTGTCAGATAAATCTTGCTGTTTTGCTGTAGACTTTCCAGGCTGTTTGTTCTCCTGTAGCTCATGGGTTTCACATCAGAAGTTTTCATTTCACTTACTCTCTGGTAGACTCTTTTTCGAGGGTTTTCTGTTTGTTTGGTTTTGGTTTTAAATTTTGCTTTGCTTTATTTTTGTTTTGATGAAGTAGCAAATAGTTTTTTAGGGGGGTAGCAAATGCTGTTTGTTCAGAGGAATATTAATTAGATGTAGGGTAGTCTGACTTAGAAAACACTGAGGGAAGATGAATGTTGTCTTTGAACATTATCATTATGAGAGAAGTTTTTCTAACATACTGAAGAATTATCTATTTGCCTTAGAATGTGACAAGAGATCCACTGCCATGGGAAACACAGGTACACTTAGGTTATTTACCAGCAGCAGTGTAGAAGTCTTGAAATCATTGATAAATGATAAGTATTGAAATCATTGATAAGAAGGTAACTTCTTACATTCTTCTCAACCTAGAGTTCTGTCTTCCTCTGATGAGATATTAGAAATAGAATTGAAAATAGAACTTTTTTTTTTGGCCTGTCATGGGGCTTGAACTCTGGGCTTGGGCAGTGCTCCTGAGCTCATCAGCTCAAAGCAAGTGTTCTCCCACTTGAGCCACAGGGCCACTTCCAGTTTTCTGGTTGTGAATTGTAGACTTCCATGGATTTTCCTGGCCTGGGCTGGCTTTGAACCTCAATCCTCAGATCGTAGTCTCCTAGGCGTGAGCCACTGGTGCCCAGCCGAAAATAGAATTTTTAAATGGTGATATAGATGTTGTCATCTGTATTAGGCTGTATTAGTATAACATACTTCTTTTGTTTCCCAGCCAGGGGCTTTCTACGTATAAAGAACTATGTTCTCTGGCAAGTGATCTTAGTCAGCCAGATCTGGTGTATAAATTTATGAATTTGGCCAACCATCATGCAATGTGGAACTCAAGGAAGGTAAATTGCTCTTGCAGGACAGTTTTGTCTATATTGTTGTATTGGGGTTAGCCCAGGATCTCACAAATGCTCAGCAAGGGCTCCTGACTGGACAGTTTCTGTTTGTTTTTTTTTTTTCTTCTCCCATCCAAAACTAAGTCTGCTATATTAAAAGATAGTGCCAGTTGATATATAGTATATTCTCTAAAATGACTATCCCTGAGAACCAAACCATTGCCTAGCTACTGTAGTGTGAAGCTGTATTTAGGGACTAGTTTGGGAGGGAGACATTTATGGTCTTCATGTACTTAATATGTTAACATTTTACTAGAAAAGATATGTTTGAGTTATTTGACCATCCTATTCATTTTTAGGGTGCTGCTTTTGGTTTTAACATAATTGCTACAAGAGCTGGAGAACAGCTGGCTCCTTTTCTGCCTCAACTAGTTCCTCGTCTTTATCGTTATCAGTTTGATCCCAACCTTAGTATTCGACAAGCTATGACAAGTATCTGGAATGCATTGGTTACTGACAAAACAATGGCAAGTATTTGTGAACCCCTGGGGTGTTAGGACAACACTGTAGCTTGTCTGTAATCATTCAAAAGCATTTTAATGCAGTGCTCATCTTTATTTCTACTTTGCATATTTGTTTGCTTTAATAAATAAGCTTTCTTTCAAAACATCAAAGTTACTGATGTCAACATACATAGAAATCTAAAAAATGGAAGCAATCTAAATGTCTACCAAGTGGATGGCTCAAGGAGTAGCAGATATTTATGTATGTGAAATGCTATATTCCAATAGGTATTATGTATGGATATCATGGAGAAGTCATGCATAGTTATACTTTTAAGGAATTTTCTTAGTTAGGGAGACAGACAGGAAGCAGGCAGTTACTATAAATCTTTTTCCTCTGTCATCTGTTGCAGTTTTCAGTATTACTGTTTCTCAGGGTTTGTCTCTGTGTACCTGTTTTCACAATATCAATTCCAGGGCATACAAACACTGTCTTTATTGTAATTGTTTTTGTTCTGAGTCCTGTACTACTGATGAAACATGCACTCCAGACTTACATATGTAACTGCCTTCTTTTTGTCAGTCATGGGGCTTGAACTCAGGGCACTGTCCCCGAGCTCTTTTGCTCAAGGCTAGCACTCTACCACTTGAGCCACAGTGCCAATTCCAGTTTTCTGGTGGTTAATTAGAGATAAGAGTCTCATGGACTTTCCTGTCTTGTCTGGCTTTGAACCATGATCCTCAGATTTCAGCCTTCTGAGTAACTAAGATAACAGGCATAAGCCACCTAACAGCCTTCTTGACATGTTCACTTGGCTATTGTTTCAAGATATCATAAAGTTAACATGACCAGAACAGGACTAAGAAAGCAATCAGCGTCCTCTATTTTCCTTTCTGTTCACACAGCCAAGCCAGGAGCGAGGTATTATGTGCCAGGATGTAGAGGTGAGATAGAGAAAGAAACCTTTGGGCTACATGAATTATAGCAGGCATTGTAACCAAATCCAGGTGATTGGACTTTATTCTCATGAATTCAGAAATCAGGAGAATCAGATTTGTCTTCTTGAGTGAATACTATACCAGCATCCAGCAACCAAAACAGGAGAGATTTGTAGTCTTTGAGACCTAGAAAGGCTCACTTATACTGTTCAGAACAGAATAGAAGTCAGTACAGTTGATTGGCAAATAATTTGGTTGTTGATGAATTTTATATTTTCAGTTTTATCTTTTTGCTTTCATTAGGTGGATAAATATTTGAAGGAAATTCTTCAAGATTTAATTAAGAACCTTACCAGCAATATGTGGAGAGTTCGAGAATCCAGGTACCATTTTGAAATATGAGTTAAATAGATGAATTTTTTTGTTTGAATTTATAAAATTTTACTTCATTTTAGAAAAATTAAGTTAAAACTACTAAAAATATTTCTTGTTGGATTAGAAAGTTTTCATCAACTATTTAAATTAGACGATTTAAAGGTTAGTAATTTTCTTGAATTTATATAAGCATGAAATTAAGGTAGCTGAAGTTCATTTGTTTATTGATAGATATCATGACATATTTACATACTTCAATGGTGACTGCATAGGGCACTTATTTATGTATGCAGTTTATATTCGTTCATTCCCTCTCATGTGCTTGGCAGTGTTCTAGCCCTTGAGGGCAAACTGAGATTGTATTGAAGTTGTGAGAAACATATTTTTTTTTGTTGGTTGTGGGGCTTGAACTTGGGGCTTGGGTGCTGTCCCTGAGCTCAAGACTAGCGCTGTGCCACTGTGAGCTACAGTGCCATTTCACAGACTCACAGACTTTCCTGCCTGGTCTGGCTTTGAGCTTTGAACCTTAGATCTCAGCCTCTAGAGTCGCTAGGATTACAGGTGTGAGCCACCAGTGCCCAGCTGTAACAAACTCTTGATGATTGCATATGCCATATATATGGGGTCTATTTGAGGTGTTAAGAGAAAATAGGCATGACCCTCTTGGGGTGAGTGGATTAGGTCAATTGACAAATTGATGTCAATTTGTCATAGCAAAATATAGAGCTTTCTTTATTTGAAATCAATCTTTTTTATTTGCAGCTGTTTAGCTTTGAATGACTTATTGAGAGGAAGACCCTTAGATGACATCATTGATAAACTTCCAGAAATTTGGGAAACCCTTTTTAGAGTGCAAGATGATATCAAGGTATTGTAGAAAGGATCTGCATTTATTTAAAGAATAGCTTAAAATGCATTTTAAAAATAAGGTATATAATTCAGGATTCTTATAGTCAAACAAATTTTAAGAAACCTCAGTATCTTCCCCAAATTTTACCACTGAGATGCCTGTCAAGTTACAGAGGTTGAGCATCTTAAATCTACACTGAGTTGATTTAAAAGAAAAAAAAAATTAGGCTACAGCTGAAAATTTCTTTCTGTTGAGCTCTTATGACACTTGGATTAGAGATAAGTAATTGTTCTGAAGTAATTCATAACTCTACTGTGGATCAGTTTCATAAATTCAGCTAGTCATTGCCAAATAATGTGATTAATGAAATATTTCTCTTAAATTTTTTAATGTTAGCTCATTTCACTGTAATGAAATCCCTGAGATAACATATAAAGATATATATATATATATATATATATATATATATATATACTCTTATCTATATGATTCTATAGATCTATCTCTGTCTCTATCTCTATCTATATAGATATCTCTATAGATATAGATATAAATCAATATCTCTATAGATCTATATCTCTTACATCTATAGAGATACAGTCTGTATCTATAGATATCATATAGTTTTGTAGGTTCAGGTATGTGATTGATTGGTCCCATCCCATTGATTAGGCTGTGGCAAGGCAACACATCACATAGGAACCTGTGGTGGAGCAAAACCACTTTGCTCCAGACTAGGAAGCAAAGAGATGGAGGAAAGATCCTGCAGTCACCTTCTTTGGCATACTCCAGTGACCTAAAGGTCTCCCCTGGCCCTATCTCACATAGGTTCCTCTAGAGCCTTTAGCGCATGGACTTCTGAGGGACAAATAAGATCCAAATTATAGCACTGGGCATTTTAAATTTTAGATATTTTCATATTCGTTAAAATTACTTCTGGCTTGTCTTCTGTTGTTGTTGGTGGTGGTTTATTCATTAGAAATGTTAAGTCTTTCAGAATGATTACACAGATCTTTATATATTTACTTTTATAATACATTTGTTTCTGATTTATGCTTCATAGCTGTATATTTATAGCTATTAAGGTCATAAGAAATAGTAATACAGCATGGTAATATGTTTTTGATAGGAAAAGAGCCTAATGAAAAATATATGTATATATATATGTATGTACACACATGAATACACATACATATGTATATGTAATATAGTCTGATGTTGAAAGAAGTTTTTTTTTTTTTTTTGCTATTCTCTGTAAGCCTGAGGTAGTTAATTGCACATTTCAGGGTAGAAGAGAATGAACCTTCTAAGTTATATAATGCCAGATTTTTCTCATTTTTAGGAGTCTGTACGCAAAGCAGCAGAATTAGCACTGAAAACTCTGAGCAAGGTGAGAACTCTCAAATTATAGTGGGTATCGAGTTGGGCAAGTGTTCTATAGAATCTTGACAATGCTTTATTTTTTTCACCATGAGATGATATTGAGTTGCCAGGTGATTATATTCATGTTAGAGCTCAATGCTCTTAAAATGACTGAGAGAGTGGGTGCTGTGAACTGGAATATTAGTGTCTTTAACACAGCATACCTGTGGTCTCTTTAAATGGTGAACTTTCTGTGTGTCCTCACATAAGGTATAACTTTCACTTGATCTGAAAGGACACATCACTCACCTGCATCATTTGACGTTTGTCTTCTCTTATTACATATTTCTTTCACTCCATGTTATTCTCACTTCATCTTTACCTCTTGTTCCTTATTACATAAATCAGAAAATCAAACTTTAGAGAGTAAAATGCAACCCTAAGTTTTATATTTTGTTATCAGCAGTCCTAGGACTCAGTAACAGTACTCATTTCTCTGTGGAAGCATATTGTGTCATAGAAAGTAGACATTCACTTCTCCTGATAGTGAAGTGAAAAACACTTTGTCAGAAGAGTGGTTGAGAGGCCAGTTTTTACTAATGATCATGCTCTTTGTATGTGAGGTTTGTGTGAAAATGTGTGACCCTGCCAAAGGAGCAGCGGGCCAGAGAACCATCGCTGTCCTCCTCCCTTGCCTTCTGGACAAAGGAATGATGAGTCCTGTGACAGAAGTTCGAGCCCTCAGGTGTGGATCAGTTGATGAAATGAATGTATTGGATTTACTCAGATCTAACCATTTAGTGAAATTCATGTTTCTTTGAATGTTAGATTCTCAAAAAAATATGGAGAAGTAGATTGAAGAGAGTCCATTGAAGAGAGTCCATTTATGAGAAGTTGTTATGTGAGAATATTTTCTAGGTAACATTCTTGTAAAGATTTTAATTTGACTGATATTTTCAGTCATGTTCTTTAGTCATTTGCCCTTGTCCCCGACAAGCACAGTGTTCTATTATTCCTTAGAAGATTGCTGCTCTCAGTAATCTACAATACTGATGGTCAATGACTTCTAAGTCCATTGGGTAAAAGGCTGATGAGGAACCACTTTATGATCAACCACACTTTTTGTGTGTGTGTGTATATGGAGCTTGAACTCTGAGCCTGAGCACTGTCCCTCAATATTTTTTGATAGGGTTCTACTGCTTGAGCCACAGCTCCATTTCCTACTTATTTCTTATAGGTTAATTAGAGATAAGAATCTCACAGTCTTTCCTTCCCAGGCTGGCTTTCAATCACAATCCTAAGACCTCAGCCTTCTGAGTAGCTTAGATTACAGATGTGAGCCACTGGCACCCTTTTCTTTTCTTTTTTTTTTTTTGACTATTTTCCTATGCAGTCCAGGCTGTCCTTGAAAACCTCCCAAGTACTAGGATTGTAAATGTGTGCCCCTTCCCTTTTTATTTTTATTTTTTTTTAAAGAATTGAACCTATACCTCTATACAAGAGACAGAGGAACATGTTAAATGACACAACTAGAATATAATCAATGAGGACAAATGCGGAAAAAGGGAGGAGGGGGGGACTTAAAGGTTCAAGAAATTCAGTGAAGTGCAAAGGATGACCTTTACAACCTCATATCAACAAGTCAACTCTGTTTTAAGTGTGGGTATTTTGAAACATAGTCTTTCTATATAGCCTGAGCTGACCTTAATCTTGCTGGTTTCATACTTGATCCACCACCTTCAGCCTTCCAAGTGCTGGGTCATAGGCTTGTGCCAAAACCAAACGTTTTTTGTTTTTGTTTCTGAGTCACACTGGCGTCAAATTCATTTTTTCTGCCTCAGACTCCTGAGTTCTGGTTTTACAGTCATGTATCATCACCATGCTTGGCATTGAAGGCCAGCTCTTAAATTTGGTGATTAATCAGGGAGAGTTGGATGTTAGATGATTAAAAAAAAAAACGACTAGTATTTTCAAAGTATAGAAATGGTATTATAATAGTTTTTGTTTCTTAGGTTATACATATTGAAATTTAGTTACAAAATATCATTTCAGATATAGTGGCATGGGAATAATTGTACCTGGATGTATAGAGGAGAGATACAAATAAAAAAATGCTTGGCTATGTATTACAGATGGTTGAAATAGCAGAGAATACAGGTGTGGTTGTACATACTCAAAATCCCATTTGCTTGGGAAGAATAGACAGGATGACTGGGATTCAAGGCCAGCTTGGGTAAAAGCATGTCACTTCATCTGAAAAACAATAAAAGCAAAAGGACTGGGGGTCCAGCTTGAATGGTACAGCAATTTCCTACTAAGCTTGAGGCCATGGTTGGATCTCCAGTACTCCCCTCATTCTACTTCCAAGTTACCAGGATTTAGGTTCTCTAAACCTATAAGTGTATGTCTCAATGCAATAAATTGCAAAATGTCCTCATGGTTAGAATTATAAGGCTTCTTAATTGTGGTAAAAAGGATTTAGAAGTTGTGTTCTGTGTGTCTATAGCATTAATACCCTTGTGAAGATCAGTAAAAGTGCAGGAGCCATGTTGAAACCACATGCACCAAAACTCATCCCTGCTCTGCTGGAGTCCTTAAGTGTATTGGAGCCCCAAGTTCTCAATTATTTGAGTCTCCGGGCTACAGATCAAGAAAAGGTGAGTAAATAGCACAAGTATATATATGCTAATGTTCATGAAAGATGATGCCTGTTAAGGTAGAAGTCCACCTGGATAATCCTTCAGTGTCCTCAGACAACTCAAATAATACAGTCACCTCTCTTGACCTACTGTGTGCAATGTTCTGTACTTTTTCTAGAAGTGATAAGGAATCTGCCTCATGGTTTTTGAGAATCAGATGAAGACAGACAACCCCATCTTAAAAATGCATTAATGTAATCACCTTTAGAGTCCTTCCATGGACCATCATCCTGCCTTGCAAGTAAAAAGGATTTGTGCCTAGACTTCGGCATAGCCAAAATTATTCTGCTTTTTTTTTGGTCAGTTGTGGGCTTAAACTCAAGGCCTAGGTGCTGACCTTGAGCTCTTTTGCGCAATGCTAGTACTCTACTTCTTTGAGCCACAGCTCCACTTCTGTTTTTTCAGTGGTTAATTGGAGATAAGAGTCGCCTGGACTCCCTGCCCAGGTTGGCTTCAAACCACAATTCTCAGATTTCAGCTTTCTGAATAGCTAGGATTAAAGGGGTGAACTACCAATGTCTGGCTTATTTTGCTTTTAAAATATATTTTGGCTGCTTTGCTTTGATCAAAGTCATGTTTTAAAAATGGTAGATGAAACATTTATTGAGCAAAGTTAGTTAAAATACAGAAAGAAAGTTCTTCCCAGTGGATCTCCAGTATCAGTAGCTTCCTATTCATTTTTCCAAATACTTTTATGATTGTAGAAATGCTACAAAACCGAACAAAAATACTCATTTAAAAATAAGATAAAAAATAGAATTACACTATGAATACTGTACAACAAATAATTTTTTAATTCAATAACGAATATGTATTTGCATATTTCATTCTTTTTTCATGCATGTATATAGTATTCTATAGTCATATGGTTTTGAATTTTTTTGGAGGTTAAATGTTTTAAGGGTTAAACTTTAAACGTTAAATCTTTTTTTCTCTCTACTCCTTACCAACAAATAGCATCACTTCACTAAGTGAAAACATTATGGTTCTGTTCTTTTTTACTTTTGGTGTCCATTATCTTTTCATATGTGTTTACCAATTTCTTTTTCTTCTGTGCATTCTGTTTCTATTCTATGCCTTAAAAAAATTTTTTTTTATTAGGACTGTGATAGCCCTGTCATATGTAATGTGCTTTCTCTTAGACATTACCATTTGATTTTAATCTGCCTTGTTACTCTCATAGCTTATTTTATTTTGTCTTTGACTTAAGGCTGTATTCTTCATTCCTCATTCTTTCCTCTTTTTCCCCTTCTAGGTTTCTGTAGAATGTAGGTTAACATTAGGCACCTCACTTTTGCCCCAACTTTTGTAGGTTTAGGTAATCACTTGTTTGCTTTTTTCCCCTCTCATTTTCTCTAGATAATGTTATCCTTTCATCCAGCATGGTTTTTGCCAAAAACCACCCTTGTATCCAGGAGGCCTCATTATGGAGTTAAAGAACTAAATGTATATGGTTTTTTTTTCTTGTATTTTGAAACAATTAAAAACAATCTTCCATAGAAATTAGTCTATCATTTTAGCTAGATGGAGAGCTTGAAGCTCAGGAAGGCTCGCTCACTTGCTCGAACTCATACTATGTTACTTTCTTTTCATTAAAAATGTTGTTTTCCTCCTGTTGGTGGTGAGGATTGAGTCCAGGGTCACTTGCGTACTGAAAAGCATATGCTCTACTACTGAGTAACACTTCCCCACCCCCTAATACTATGTTCAGTTCTTAACTGCAGGTAATTTCTGATTATTGTCTGAAATGGAGGTATTTTGGGGCTTTAGTGAAAATCTACCTCTCTAGGTAAGTTGAAAGGAAAATAAAGAAAAAACATTAGAGTTAGTATTATGTTTGGCTTTGTCACAGATTATCTTCCTTTAGTTTGGAAATCAGACTTTTGTTGGAGCTTAATGTGGCTGGTTCATAATTAATTGAGTTGTCCTGAGTGATTTGAATTTGTATTCTTTAGGCTGCGATGGATAGTGCTCGACTAAGTGCTGCCAAGTCATCTCCTATGATGGAAACAATCAACATGGTGAGTGCTAAAAACAATAGAGTTTGTGTGCTTCATTTCGCACTCATTCTTCCAGGACTTTGGACTGAAGAGATGCATCAGCGAACTACTGTGACTCCACTTTTTCCTTATAAAATACTTTGTATTTTAAAATATTTCATGTACATAAAAGTTGTACAAGCTGGTTACTGGTGGCTCACACCTGTAATCCTAGCTACTTAGGAGGCTGAGTCCTGAGGATCACAGTTCAGTGTGGGCAGGAAAGTCCATGAGGCTCTTATCTCCAATAAACTACTTAGAAAATGCCAGTAGAAGCACTGTGGTTCAAGTGGTAGAGAGCTATTCTTGAGCCAAAGAAGCTCAAGGACAGTACCTAGGCCCTGAGTTCAAGTGCCAGGGCTAGCACCAAAAAAATGTTGTACATATTTATTAACATTTTTTTCTTCTACATTCCTAAATAATTCAATACTAGAATTATCTAGTTCAAGTTGCACTTATAGGAAAGAACAACATATTAAACAAGAGATTCCTCTGTAAATATGTATCATGTATCTTCTGGTCTATATGCTTAGAAAGCATAGTAGAAGATAGTAAAGGGAATCCAGTGGTGGTGAGATGTTTCAGGCACAGGAAGGAATTTGATGTAAAGAGCTACGTGGCCTTTGAAGTTCTGAGTTCTAAAGTTCCAGAAGTTTTGGCAAAGTCAGCTCTGCTACAGGCATATCCTGTAGTAGTTAACTACTAGTGCGCTATTGAAATTTTTTGCTAAGCAGATAAAAAAAATTTGGCCAAGTAATTGTTGAAATAGGCACAGAATAGGACAAGAGGAATGCATGTTTTTCACTACCTACTGAGGACTATTACCAAAATTTGATCTAAAATTATATATTAATTGATTTATTGGGGGAAAATCAAGTTTAAAGTTAGCAAACATCATATGGACTTATTTATGAAAAATAGAATATATTCATGTATTTTGAAAAAACTATAACAGTAAGTTGTAGATGGAGGTATTAAGGATTGTTTACAGTAGGCTACCACAAGTCAGTTTTAATCTTGTTTTTTTTAATATTAAACAGATTGATAAAGGGGAATATGTCTAAAGAGATCCTTTGTTGTTGGATGGTTTTTGTTCTGAAATCAGAACAAAATAAAAACAATATTTTTCTGTCAAATCCAGTGAGTTTATATTTGACATGGTAGGTTGTAACTGAAAATGTCATACTGATTTAAGTATTGCTAATGTTTGCCTTTATATTTATTCTTTCTGCAGTGCCTGCAATACCTTGATGTTTCAGTGTTGGGTGAACTAGTTCCTAGGTTATGTGAACTGATCAGAAGTGGTGTAGGTCTTGGAACGAAGGTAAGACAGTGTATTTTTCACAAGAAGGAGTGCTAATCATTGTTAATGTTTGAAATAAAAGTACAACAACCATCGTGTTTGAAATACATGTTTCTATAAAAATATTAGATATTAAGCATTTTGTTCTGTATTTATACTAATAACTTAAAATGTAAGTTTGAAATAAAACTCAGGAAATATGATCTTTTTTAGTGGAGCCATTTCTGTTCACCGGTTCCTGTATAAATACACTTAGGCTCTCCTTTATTGTGGGTTAATGGAAGTGCTCACTTAGTTGTCAGGAATTGATTGATGTTGTTATTAGAATTTTTTCTAGGGGAGGTCAAGCAGGTGTATGGATAGAAAAAAATGCTTACATTTTCCAAGGATCATTCACCCCATTTTGATCCTAATTAGTTTTGAGGCAGGGTCTTGCTATGCAGCCTTAAATTTTCCCTCCTCCTGCCTCTGCCTTGGGAATGCTGGGATTTTACAGGTGTGCACCATGTCATCTTTGTCCCTTTTTTTTTTTTTGGTCTATGACTGAGACTTGAACTTGGTGTCTGATGCTTTCACTCATAGCTGACGCTCTACCACTTGAGCCATGCCTCCAGTGCCCTTTGTGTCATTTTTAAGACAACCATAATTTGCTTTTTTTCTTTCTCATGACAAAATGAATGTTCATATTTAAATCTTTTATCATTTATATATTAGGAGAAAGTTAAAGGTGCTTATTTTATCATGCAGAGAAAACTGTTCTTTATAATTCTTTTTTTTAACTTTGTAACAATTTGTAGCTCCTTTTTCTTTTTAAAAATTGAGATTAGGTGATTACATAAATTTCACAGTGTTGTGGAATAGTGATACTTAAAGTCCAAACACGTTTTAACCTTCACAAGGCAAATTGTCATTGTCATGGTTATAGTTCATTTCTTTCCAGTGTATTTTTCTCTCTGTGTATTGTAATATCTATAATGTCACTTTTTAAAATGTATCAAGGGACAACTCACTCTTTTTTTCTTTTTGTCTTAAAGCACTGTGGTGACTATCTTTGAGCATATACCAAAGATACTTCTTTCTTATGTTTTTGTTGGTGTTGGGGTTTGAACTTGGTTCAGTGTGTTTGCTAAGCAGGTGCTCTTATCACTGAAGTACACCTTCACCTTCAGCTGTGAATTTTGCTATTTATTTTTGGGATAGAGTTTCACTTCCTGCCTGGGTGCCTGCCCTAGCACAGTCTGCCTAGGATAGGTTTCCTGTTTAGCTAGAATAACAGCTTTGTGCTGCCAGGTTTAGCTCTTCATTGAGAAGAGGCCAAAACTTTTCTCTCTGGGGCTGGCCTCAAACAGAAAATCTTACACTCCCAAGGAGCTCTGATTACAGTTATGAGCCACTGGCACTTGGCTCCAAATACATTTCCTTTGATTAAATTTCTAGAAGTGAGAATGATAGCAGAGATCTAGTGATAACTCTACATTACCCTCTCAGAAGAGTTTACCAATTTTTTAACTTTATGATATTTAAGATTGCTCATCTTCCTGCTGGAGGACTTAGAAAAAAAATCTCTGCATTCATAATTTGAATAAATTTTCCTTTTTCTAAATTGAATCCTGGAGGAGCCATTTGGCTTCATGTGTGTTTCATATCTTTAAATCTTTGCTATCTAAAACAAAGGGTTTGTTAGGTAGAACAATTGTGACTATTAGATTTAGGCCTTTCTTTTGTAACCCTGCAGGGAGGCTGTGCCAGTGTCATTGTGTCTTTAACCACTCAGTGCCCACAGGACATAACACCTTACTCAGGTCAGTTTGTTCTTTGATGTATGGAATAGTGAAAAATATGTTTGTGAAGCCATATGCTTTCCCTCCCTTCAGATCCTATCCCCCAGTCTTCTGTTTCCATTGTCTTAAAAGTGATTATTGCTTTCTGTAGTATTGGGAAGTTAAGGTACTTGTTTACCATTTATTGCTCATGCCTGCCCACCCCCTCTCCCACTTTAGTGGTTGTAAGGATTGAATGCAGGGCCTCATGAAGTGCTCTTAACAGTTGAGATGTTCCCCCAGGTCAGTAACTAATCTCACCTCAGTACTTTCCTCTTCTTCCATAGGCTCTTAGGAGGGCCTATTGAATTTTATGTACCTACCTTTCATTATTACAACTTTTGTCATAATATTCTAAACACAAGTTAATTTGTGATTTTCATCTCAAGTAAAGTGAAGCATACAGTATATAGTACAAATAATAACATTTAAGAGACCTCCACCACCATGGAGTATAAATCAGATATTTCTGGGTAATAGATATTTCTTTGCTATAGCATATGGGGAATATAGCAGAAAATGTGCTTAAGCAAGTATCAGCTATTTTCTAATTTATTTCTAATAGGTAAACTTATGAGTGCTTTGCTTAGTGGCCTGACAGATCGGAACAGCGTGATTCAGAAATCCTGTGCATTTGCTATGGGCCATTTAGTCCGGGTGAGTCAAGTTTCTTTTTTAGGTAAATAAGCTCTTTGATAATTATAAAGGAATGACTAAGACTGTTTCTTTTTCAGACCTCACGGGATAGCAGTACTGAAAAACTGCTGCAGAAGCTTAATGGCTGGTATATGGAGAAAGAAGGTTCATTTTTCTATTTTATGTCATTTGTAATTTTGATGTTAACCTGAATGGAGTCATAGAGATTTTACTGCTAGGAAAATTTCTGCTAGATTTATGTGTTTGTTTTGCTTTGAGCAGTTGTTTATTTAGATTAATTCCCCTCCTCGCCCAGATAGTGTTATAAAACTTTTGGTTTCTTTTTCTCTTCAGAACCCATCTATAAGACCTCTTGTGCTTTGACTATTCATGCAATTGGACGATACAGCCCTGATGTATTGAAAAACCATGCCAAAGAAGTTCTGCCCTTAGCATTTCTAGGCATGCATGAAATAATTGATGAGGAGAAATCTGAAAAAGAAGAATGTGACTTATGGACTGAAGTTTGGCAGGAAAATGTGCCTGGTTAGTAAACAGTAACTGTTAATAAGCCTGTTTCTTAGAAACCACAGCTGGATATGTATATATATATCTCTATATATTTATTTGGTAGTACTGGTATTTGAACTTGGGGACTTGTGCTTGTCAGGCAGGCACTCTTTTGCTTGAGCCATACCTCCAGCCCTTCTTGGTTTTGCTGTTTTTCAAGTAAGGTCTTGGCTTTTTGCCTAGACTAGCGTGGACCATGACCCTCTCTTTATAAGTTACTGTGTAGCTGCGATGACACACCACTGTACCCACCCTTCTGTTGGTTGAATGGGGTCTTGTGAACTTTTTGCCGTGGCTGTTCTCAAACTGCGGTCCTCCTGATCTCAGTCTCCATCGTTGCTAGGCTTACAGACATGAGCGACTATACCTAGCCTGGAATTTTTTACTTAGTATGTTTTCCACAATCTCCTCTAAAAGAGTTACTTTCCCAGGACTTCTAACAACAGACATCTCATTTAATTTTAAGTCCATCCAAATTTCTGAGGTTATAAGGTTGACACTCAGAGGTCTTCTGTTTTAAGTCATTGCTGTCCTTGTGAGCGAATATAAACCCAACCCAGACAAAGTGGAACTTAGTGTTAGTTAAGAGTATTATAGTGTTTGTATGTTGCTTTACAGTATTATTTTAGAGCACTGTTTCTCAGCATTTCACCTTGACGTTTATTAGTGAATGATAACCATTGGCACGGCACTCTCCTAGGAGTGCATCCGAGATTATAAAGTCCCGCTGTTACAAAAAGAAGCCACATCTCTCATTGTTTCTTTTTAAGAGAGTTTGGCATTTGAACAGTTGACAGTCATTGCTTTAAGCCCCTGATTTATAAAAGAAAAATCATTTAATATATCTTCTGTTGCTTGAACTTATTTTAAATTTGCTTTTTTTTTTTTAACCTAGGTTCCTTTGGAGGCATTCGATTATACCTGCCGGAGTTGATTGCCATTACCCAGAAGGCTTTACAGTCTCAGTCCTGGAAAATGAAAGCCCAGGGTGCAATCGCCATGGCGTCCATTGCAAAACAAACCAGCAGTCTTGTGCCTCCATATCTGGGGATGATACTGAGTGCATTGCTGCAGGGCCTGTCTGGGAGAACATGGGCAGGAAAGGTAAAGGAACCATTCATGCCCAGTTACATTTAAGGTATCCTTAAAGGATATGACTTTGTTTTTCATTTTCTGGAAATGTAAGAATCTGGTTTACTGTGACTTCCGTGTACTGTTTTCGCAAAGTAGATTTACTAGCCAGTGAGAGACTGGGTAGACATTGCCTGATTATGATATTTCGTTGCAAAGAGTAACACTCATGTCCTCGAATAATGCATAGTAATCCTGGAGATTGATGTATTTTCCATTTTCAGCCTTGTAAGTTAACCTCTTAAACTAGATTGTTGTACCTGTTGACCTCATAAGCAGTTCAGGATTGGCCATATGAGAAGTTAAAACAGAAGTCAGAGAACCGTTTTTAATCCTGGAGCTGAAGATACCCATATCTGAGGTTTGAATTAGGAACAGCTCTGTGTATGTGTATGTCTTTCTGACATTTGAACTCAGGACTTGGTGCTCTACCACTTGAAGCAAGCTTCAGTCCTTTCAGTCCTTTTTGCTTAGTTTCGTTTTTTTTTCTAGTTTGTATTTTATGTTTTGCCCAGGCTAGTGGGGCAATGATCTCTTCTTACTCACACTTCCTGCGTACCTGGGATGCAAAGTGTGTACCACTGGACTGGCTCCTTTTGCTGAGATGGTATCTCACTAACTTTTTACCTGGGCTGGCCTCAGACCTTGGTCCTTCTGATCTTTGTCTCCTGAGCAGCTAAAATTGAAGGCATGGGCTACAGACTTGGCCAGAAACAGTGTCTTTTACAGAAGAGCTATAGGAAGTTGCATACAGTGAGCATTTGATGGAGAACATGATATTGTGGCTCTATGTAATGCTGTACTGTAGTTAATAAAGTGGTCAACAGTGCAGTATTGTGGGAATAGTATTGGACTGGAAGTTCAGTTGTAATTCTGATTTGATATTCCTACCATGTGACCTTGGTCAGAGCAGTTCTCAATCTTTTATATAATAGAGGTGACGATAATTCATGGACCAGAATAAATTTTGGTGTATGTGCCTTTAACAGTAAAGCACATTAATGATAAGATGCATCATCATAATGTTTGTCGCCACAATTTAATATTCCCAAGAATATTAAAGTCATTAGGGTCATAGAAGGAGAATATGACAAGTATGGGCTTAATAGTATTCCCTCGTCTTTCAACCCTTCAGGAAGAACTATTGAAAGCCATTGCCTGTGTGGTGACAGCTTGCAGGTAAATGTTCTTTGAAAGAAGATGCCATTTCTTAAACTGAAGCTTAAGCGGCAGCCTTTATTAACTGGTCTGATGCTTTTGTGTGGATCCTGTAGTGCAGAGCTGGAAAAGTCTGTGCCCAGTCAACCCAGCATAAATGAAATTCTTCAAGCTGTTTTGAAGGAATGTTGCAAAGAGAACCTCAAATACAAGATTGTAGCAATCAGTTGTGCAGCTGATATTTTAAAGGCCACCAAAGAGGACAGATTCCAGGAGTTTTCTGACATTGTCATACCTCTCATCAAGAAGGTAATGGCCATCTATGTATCTTTATCAAATCTGGCTTATCCTTAAAACTTTTAAAAAGATTTTCCTGGCTTCCAAGTGCATGTTTCTTACTAGGATTAATTTAGCTGTAAGTATCAGAAAACCTCAAAATATGTTGGCCTCATACAAGATAGAAGTTTGTCTTCCATATAATAATTGAGACCCTCACAACCTTCATGGACTCTGGTTAATTATAGTCCCCAGTTTGGCCACTCCTATTCCTTACCCATCATCCAATATAAATGAGGAGACTATATGGAAGGAATAACATTGGGCATGTTATTCTCTAAAGGAAGGTTCTGGACACCATTGCGTGACATTTGCACTTATACCAAGTGCAAGTTCTGTACCACATAGCCACACCTGGTGGCAGATGAGTCTAGAAATAGTAGTCTTCATTCTAGATGGGCATTGCCCTTCATGAAGGAGAGAGTAGGTTGATAGTGAATGAACAGTTGTTGTCACAATAAACTTGCCATGAAAACCTGATGGAGATCCCTTGTGAAGACAGAGTGAAGACAGGGCCCATGGCTCATGTGGATCACTACTACAGTACACTGGATGATTTTGTTTGAAAACAAAGCAAGCAACTTTTAGTTCCTTCCTTTTCCTTTGCCTTCCTTCCTTCCTTCCTTCCTTCCTTCCTTCCTTCCTTCCTTCCTTCC